TTCTTGTATCATTCAAAATACCCTACGAAACGTAATTTCAATTGATGCAGAACATGTAATATTCTAAATGTGCTAAATTGTGGATAGTAGATTGAGCATTTTTTGAATGGGCCAAAGTTCCCCATTCAAAATGTGCTGAATCTACAATGGAACCCACAAATAAAATTTTTGGTCAGTTGAAAGACTCAACAGAAAGGCCTACTAATTTCTCAAAAGTGGTKGCAATAWAATTTGAACACATGCCCCTTTGTTAACTGTAGCACAAATGAGTTCTTAGTCAAAGTTGTCATTACACGCTCAAAGAAGGGCCAAAAATGTACAACTGGTGCATAGATTTGAATGCCCAATCTATACCATACTACAATCCAATTGTTCTCATTTGAGTTTGTACTACTCAATCAATCCATGTCCMACCCAATCTAGTAGATTCAAATGYCTTCTTCTTGTGTACTACTAACAGCAGCAGCAACAACAAGAACTAGTACTACTACTGTTATAGTAATGGTACTAGTACTWCTAGTACTAGTACTAGTATCAATATCAAAATTGGTCATGTTGGACAAGGAGAAGGGATGTTAAGTAATGATTTGATTTTTTGGGAGATGGGTCCACGGTTAGCTATTCTTGGATTTTTGTTCTTGTGGGTTAACCCAGGAACCTACATTTCATTCTTGTATTATAGAGCATTTAAATGTACGACACAGTTGTATATTTTGGGCCCTTTGTCTGTAATGACTACTTTGACTAAAAAACTGACTTGTGCTGCAGTTTACAGCTGGGCAGCACTTGCTGAATTTTATTCCCACCAGTCTTGTGACCAAATARTTTGTGTGCACATGATATTGCTGTACCGGTTGTTTTACAAGTCAAATTTTTCATCCCATGAGTCATTGCATGGTAAGAAGATGGCCCAAAATCTGCACAAAGCATAATTTAACCATATAAYGACTGTTTAAATCTTGAACCGACAGTTTGAGCTATATCTTGGTCCCCAATTGACATGTAACAATGATATGCACATGAATCAGAAGCATTTAAAAACAGGATTCTAGGTGTATGGGGGATTGGGCTTTGTCCTAGCAATATTGATAGATATTTGTGTACATATTGTATAGCGTTGACCAGGTTTTTTTGGCCAAATTAATCATAYATTTTTTAATTGACTGTAAGCCCAAACCAAAGTCATAGCCTGTGCTGACTTTTAAAGATAMAAGGAGATATGATAATTTAGAGTGATTGAAAGCCCAATGGAAGTCCACTTGTGTTATATCTTGTCCTGCTGGTTTCTTTGTACTAGTACTAGTCATCTTGTCCCGCTGGTTTCTTTGTACTACTAGTAGAGGTCCTGCATTGCTGCAGCTGGTAGGAGGAAAAGGTATCAAGCTCATCTAGGTGTTGTATTGATGTCTAATAATCACCATTGTAGTTGGTAAAGACCAGTACCATTGCTCAATAAAAGATATTTTCAACAAAGCCATGTGCTGGGAAAAGATGTATTGGAAAAGGATGCATTGCCTTGTTTGTGTAGAAGATGCAAAGTAAAGGGATTGAGGGAGTCACCAGGGATTGGCAGTAGTATTAYCACTACTATTATGACGAAGATGCAAATGAAKGGTTGCTGAAGTTGCAATGTTGCTGTGTGTAAAGAACACTGGAATAAATTCAACCATCCTATGTAGTATTGCATTTCAATTAATTATAATATTTGTGATTATTGTATTTCCTTCTACTACTATTGTTTTGTAATACTGAGTGGGATATAGGTAGTGGAGTAGCGCAGAGGTGGAAACATTTGGCAAAACGCGAAGGGAAAAAGTAAAATATTTTACCATCCGGTCATTCGCTTAAAAAGTATCTTGTATCTTGTTAGGTTTGTCCACATCATCTGCATTGTTGTAGCGAACGATTCCACGCAAAGTTGAGTGATGACCAGTGCTGCATTTTTTAGAAGGATTTCTTATGGTACAGACGAAAGAGGAAGTATTTTTAAGCGTTCTTAATCTCACGTTCTCCCTTCCAGTCGAAACCGATATCACTCAATTTCTTGATGCGATCCTTCGTAATGAAACACTTCCTCTTGGTATCGCGATAATATTTCTGGGTCCGTTGTACCCTAGTCCAAATCCCAAGATTACGTAAATCCTTGCTTTCCTCACCTTCAAGTGGAATTTCAAAATGGCCACAGGACTTCTTGTATCGATTCAACTTCGCGAAGTTCTTTTCCCACGACGCATCGGTTTCTGCAATTTTGTTGTAGTCTCGCTGAAAGCCCCAATGAAATCCGATTTCGTCTAATTGATCGATTTGTTCGATAGTAAGTGGCCTTCGAGCCTCTTTGCCTTGCATCATTGCCTTGAAATTTCTTCTCACTTCTTGGACCCAAATTCCAAGCGATTTGTTCTCCTTGAAATTGGTTGGGATCTTGCAGTGATTATTCTTCTCGAAGAACTCCTTGCACTCAACACAACGTTCGTTCCAGGTTTTGGTCGTCTTCGTTCGCCCTTTGGTCGTCTTTGTGACAGTCTTCTCTTCTTTTTTGAAGACTCTCTCTTCAGATTTTACCRACACCATTGTAGGGGGAATGGAGACTTTCACTTCTTTTCAAGAGACTTCAATTCAATGGAAGTTCGGAATATAGTATCGCCTGGGTCATTAAGCACTAAGAAAGTGGCAGTTCCGGACAATCCGAGAGCCAACTTGAAACTGCTTCGTGTCCCTTCCACGCTAGAGACAACTCAGTGTTTGATTCTCGCATCGTGGATCATTCCGATTTTTTAAACCTGCAGCATCGTTTAGAATCATTCTGTGGCCTTGCACTCGTCCGGAAAATTTTTAAATGCAAAGGACTGATTGAGATAATCAATATGATCTAAATTCAGTGATAAATATAGCGGCCATCCCGCCATACACGATTTTGATTGATTCTCAGTGGCCCCGTGCTGTGGGCAGACCGTAAATTCCGAGGATGCCCTGTTTGTGTAATAAATTTCCAATGGACCGTGTGCTACGGGATGTACGCCGGGAAGATGAGGTGGAGCCCGTGGAATCGGATCGTGATAATGGATCACACGCCAGATTGGCGGGGAAATACCCTGTGCGGTTGCAGCAGCCACAAAACTARTAACAAACTCGGCRTTTCCAATCCGTGGTTTCCCAAAGGTCCATGTTGCCTCCACGTGATATCCTATGGCTGCTCTTAAGTCAAAAGAAGCTATCGTAGCTATTGCGCCTCCCAATGAATGCCCTGCCAGTACCAATCGAGTGCAATTGAGATCTTCGATAGCTCTATGGACATCCGTGCGGATTTCATCATAAGCCTGGGCAAATCCATGGTGCGCTTTGCAGCCCTGACACCAATCGACACCGCTGAGATCGTTGAGGGGCCACGGGCGGAGCATAAGAAGAAAATCAGCGTACCAGTTTGCTGGTTTTAATGAGCCTCGAAATGATACCATGCACTTGATATCGTCATTTCTGCCATTCTCGTTCGATGGGTTGTCATCGAAGTTTAAGACATTGCTTCGCACTAAGTCATTATTTCCTGGAATCTGAGCAACATATCCTTGCACTTGAAAGCGCTGACCTTCTGGAATGTATCTTATTTTGTCATTCCCCACTACTGGAGCATTATCGCATATTTCTCCACACGACCACGATGYAATCGCACGTTCTGTGCAAAATGCAGCTTTTGAATAAAAAATATGTCGAAGAGCTTCTTCTTCGTCATATTCTGGGATTTCGAGCAATTCTAAATATTCAGAATTTGTGTTCTTCCCATCATAAGAGATATAACCATTTTGTGTTCCCTTCGTCAAAAAATAAGCGACAACAGCCAAGAGTATACCGATGATGGGCACGATCCACTGTCCGAGCGAGGGCTTCTTTGCAACATTGATGGCGTCTGCTGTTGACGAGAAAGACAAGGGCATTAACGTCGATGCGGTCGATGAAGTGTTTTCCCGTTCATCTGGTGTGTATTCCTGTAGCGTCATTGTTGTTCAAATGCAGATAAAAGACAATTCCTACTGGTATTTTCGAACAATTCATGATACTGCAATGCGATTGTTTCAACTCTAGTTCATCTCGCTTATTTCATTTTTTCTGACCTGTGGATGGACATACTCCGTGCTTCGGAGGTTGTGAATTTGCATCAACTAATCAATTGGTACTGTCTGAAGTTGATAAAAAAGATAAAAGAAAACCCTGTTCCATCCATGGCAGGCAGTATTTTGATTGGTGGGTACAGATTCTTTAAAAGTTGAGGTATCTTGTGGGAATATTTTTGGCTACTATTACTACTAGTAGTACTAGTGGCATTAGTAGTAGTAGTTTAGTACATTCTAATACTAGTGCTTCTTCTTGCTGCTGGTGGGGGTCCTCATCATGCACCAACAACAAGAAGGAGTGTTGTTGTTTGGTGGTCCTCCTCCTGGTGTGAATGAGCAGGAGGAAAGGGGGCAAGGGTTTGTTGTTGTGGGCTGCTGTTATTTGATGGGGGGGAGTCAAATCAGTTGGTGCACAATTTCATGGTGGTTTAATTTCTACATAGATAATTTAAGGTAACTTAAATTTAAAGTAGCTCAAAAGCAGCTTAAAAGYAGCTTTCAACAAGCTACTGAAACAAAGCCTACCTTTTAAGCTACTTTATTTCTACCTTTTCATTGACTACTGATTGAAAAGGGCTGTTATTCTGATGAATTTGATAAGGATCAGTACCATGGTAGGGAATGTACACAAGAAGTAGTACGCACCTAGCTAGTTGTACGTMCAGTAGCTTGTTAGTAAAGTATCTGGTGGTAATGCATTGTTTTGTAATGTCCCAGTAGTATTAGTAGTAGCATGAGGGRTCCTGGGTGCCATGGCTTGTTACAAACAAGATTGAAGCTGCTGGTGAATCATTTGTGCTGTGTGGCACCCCCCCCAGTGTTGACAATGATTGGMCAGCACATCTTACTACTAGTACTAGTAGTAGTGCTACTACTAGTACTACTACTACTAGTGCTACTACTAGTACTACTAGTAGTAGTGCTACTGCTAGTACTACTAATACCCTGTGCATTCACCATTCAAAAACATCATGCATGCTAGTATCGTATAGGCTTGGCCAGCCAATGTACGGTTTAAACCTTGGATTAGCGGCCATCTAATTACCATGTAATGACTCGTGGGATTAAAAATTGGCTTGTACTGCAGTGTACAGCGGGMACACGTTCATGCGACCAAATAGTTTTGCGCGCACGTCGTGCTCAACGAACAATTTTGGCTTCGAACACATGCAAAGTTTTAATYCCACGAGTTGCTTCCACATGCATGCTGTAGGCCTAGTACAAGTCAAATTTTTAATCCCACGAGTCATTACACGGTAATTAGATGGCCGCTAATCCACGCACACGTATTTAACCGTTTAACTGTTTCAGTCTTGAACTGACCGTTTCGGCTATAACTTTTTCCCCAACGAACGCTTGAGTATGATAAGCACATGGTTGAAAAGAGAATTCAAAGAGCTTTCTAATGGCGTGGGGGAGTACGGCGTACGACGAATATTGACTGATATACGTTTACGTATATATTGAATTGCTAATGTACRGTTTAAACCGTGCTTTTTTGCTTGGCCCAGCCTATACRATAGATGCTGCTACTACTAGTATCATGGCAATCRTCGTSCTGAGGAGTACAAATTCTTTTCTTTCAAATGTYGTGCCTCAGTTGCAAATGATCAGATTGGAAAAAAATTACAGGTGGTACAGATGTACCACATGGCACTCACCAAACTTTCAGTGGTCCTACAAACACTAATGCTACTACTAGCAGTATTACATTTTCTTGTTGCAGTCAAAGGGTTTGTGATATTTGCAATGTTGGTGTAAATTTCACTTTTCTTTAGTAGTATGGTGGGTTCTTTCTTCTTGTTATTATTGAGGTTGTTGTGCTTTTACTACTTTAGTATAAGAAGTACCACTAGTACGTCACATACTAGTAGGAGTGATGATAGTAGTAGAGGAGTGCTCTTGGTGGTTGCTGTTGTGTCTGTGGTTCTTGTTCTTGCTCCTGTGGTACTTGCTGTTGCTGCAGCACCACCAATGGTGCTGGGGTTTACATTAGTACTAGTACTAGTTGGTGTAAAAAAATTTGGGTTGCTGTCCTCCTCCTCTTCATTGAATCACCACCAGCAAGCACCACCATTTCTTTCTTTTGAGAATGAGAATTAAATAGAAATAGTAATACTAGTAGTATGACATAAATTACTTAAAGGTTACTACTACTATTATTTATATTTATTAGTAGTGTTGTTGTTGTTGTTGTTGTTCATTACTTTACATGGCAACAGGGCAACAGGTTGCAGAGTGTTTGAAAAACGTTGGGATGCAACGGTCCACAACGCCTTTTTTCCATCCTTGACCGTTGCACAACGCCGTTGCATAATAAAATGTATAATATTGATATAATTACTTGATAGTAGTCCCATACCAMCACTATGATGTTGCTATTCACTTRATCATTCAAAGATGCGCCCATTTGTTTCTCATACCATTCCAAATTTTCAGCTAGTACTAGTAGTACATACTACAAAGTCCTCCCTGCAATATCAGGATCAAGCTTAGTGCGTAGATCACTGATGATCCTCTGTGCCCTACTAAATATTCTTTCTGAAGGAGCAGATGTTGCTTGAACAGCAAGATACTTCCTTGCTAGAACAGCCAATGTTGGAAATTGGTTCTTTTTGTTTTTTCCCCACCATTGTACTAGAGGATTGGAGTGCCTGGTCTTGCCACTCTCCTTGTCTATCTCAAAGGGTGCAAGTTGGGGAGGGGAAATGTACCTAAGCAGCTCCAGATCGCATGATTCCTTGATACTCTGAGGATTGGAAGACACTGCAGCTTTCTCTTTTTGTGCCTGTCGCTGCATGATCATCAAAGGGTCCACCAGCTCTTCTGTACCAGCACTAGTATCGCTACCACTAGTAGCAGAGGCTGCCACCACAGAGTCATTGCTGTTGCTGGTAGCTTCAACTGCCCCACTAGTCTCTTCAGCAATCCCATTGGTGGTGGTCCTGTTGGTCCTGGTCATCTCTTCAATCATTAGTACTAGATCTGTAATCTTTTCATTGATTTCTTTCCTTTGATGCTTTGCAGACCGAGGGCAATCCTCCTCATGAAAGTCACCATCATTTAAACCAATGTGGCCCAAACTTTTGAAACGTGGGTCAAGAAAAGCTGCAATGATAAAGAGAGGATGAATACCCTTCTTCTGTCTGTTTTGGCCACTGTGTTGGACTTTTTCGTTCCACATAGGAAAACTTCTGTTGCCCCAACGGTTTTCAAAATCTTTCAACAACACTAAGCTCATATGTCTCACAATCACATTGTTGTCTTTACTACATAACTAGTACTAGTACTAGTACTAGTACTAGTAGTAGTAGTAGTAGTAGTAGTAGTAGTAGTAGTAGTAGTAGTAGTAGTAGTAGTAGTAGTAGTGTAGAAGGTCTAAGAGTTCATATTAAATTCAGTCTTGCCTAAATATTTAGTCCCATATGTGTGTGCAGTCTTGCATTTTTTAGTCCCATATGATTCAGTCTAGCGTTGCACCGTTGCAAAAATTTTAACCCTAGTGCAGCGTTGCAACGCTCAAAAAGCGTTGCGTTGCGGACCCCTACTTTTTTCTCTTCTCTTGTACATACCATGAGTACGTATTACGAGTACGAGGTACTTACCATATACAGTAGCAGTTACCAGTCCAATTCGTACGATTGCGTCTGCCGCACGATTTTTCAACAAAATAATAACGAAGTCCATGACTTCAAATACTCGCGCAACTGCGATTATGATTACCAGTGCTGGTACCCATTGTTACCACTGGCTTCGTAACAAGATGAAATATGTGGCAGAGACAAGCAACAAATGGGGCGGGAGAAGGACGCAAGCGTCAATAGATTCTCGAAACGAGATTCCGGCGGAGGTTGAGGCTGGTGACAACGACTACGAGATAAATGACGACTATGACGACGAGAACCGCGATGAAAATGATGGGCAGTTGGCATCCAGTCGTGCAATCCAAAACGATATAATATCGAAGTTCCCGCAGGACCACCTGGTGCATTGTTTCGGATATGGTTCGGGCGTGTTTACTCAGAGCCTTTCAAGAGAGAAGGGTGCCGCGAATGCCGGGATGCTAGACCTCATTTTAGTGGTCGACGACACCCAAAAATTCCACAACGAGAATCTGCAGAGGTTCCCTCACCACTACGCCCCGTGGTTGCGTTTTGGAGGCCCCAATCTTGCGACGAGGATGCAACGTCAGGGATTGCCTTGGCTGCCGGACGCTCACGTTTTGTTCCACGTCGTGGACGCAGACGAAAGCAGCGGCCTTCCAAACATGAAGTACGGCGTAGTCGACAAAAAAGATTTGGTCGGGGACCTCGTCGGTTGGTATTCCCTATACCTGGCGGGTCGCATGCACAAACCCACTTTGAACGTTGTTTCTAGAGACGACGACTTGGTTCGCGCCCAAACAAAGAATCTTCGGGCCGCCACGTCGATGGCACTCCTGTTATCCTCGTCGGCCAACGACACCGCTACGTCCGCTGTGTCGTGGCCGTCTCTCTACCGCCAAATCGCCGCTCTCAGCTACACGGGAGACTTCCGAATGCAGGTGGGAGGGGAAGATCCGCTAAAACTCGACAAGCTCATCCAAGCACCAGGACAGCTACAACGCTTTCACGACATGTACCGACCCATATTTAAATCATACGAGATGTCCGGATTCCTATCGACATCTTATCCATCATCCGGTGGTGGTGGCAGTKGTGGAGTCGAATGGAATCCGAACGATCCATCCGTAATAAATCAATTGGTGCGTCAGTTACCAAAATCGTTGCGAGAGGGCACTGCTACTGGTACAGCAACGACAAAGAGCACCAAACATCTTAGAGTAAATCACGACGTTCTGGCCAAGGCATTGTCGGCAATCGTAGCCCCTGCCGCCAGGAACCAATCCTTCAAGGGAGTGTTCACCCTAGGATTTCGAAAAAGCATTCGGTATGCCAGCGCCAAACTATCGAAGGGTCTCTTCGCTCGGAAAAAATAGGAAGATTCACCAGTTCAAACTTAGTATTCGTGATGCGTTCACTAGGCTTATAATGCGTTCTAATGTATTGAAAAGAGTACATGCTATTGCCCTGATTCGTTGCCGTTGATTTCTTTTGTCGGTGATGCATCCTTGAAATTTGTTCCCGTTCCTATTTTTGTTGTAGGATTGTCGTTATTTTCAGCCGATTTTGTTAAGTGGGCACATTCCACCAAGTAGCCGTAAACCTTGAAGTAAGAAGGGCAAGAACCAAACAACATGCACGAGAAAGTAGATGTCAAATATTCAGTAAGTGGATTGAAGGAAACTGGAAAGGAAATCGCATCACAGTCGGTACCTGAATACTTTTGTCCAAATTTTCGATCAAAGCAGAAGGTTGGTCTTATTTTCGTGGCGGTCGGCTGGTGAAAATATGATAGTCTTACCATGTCTGCTGTGGTCCCTACGGCCCCAGCGGCGATCATTGGCACCAATCCTTTCTTAAATTTCAACGAATAGGCCGTTCCCAGGCCTATGCCGGCGGCACAGAGACGATATTGCGAGAGCAAGCTATGTTTCGGTGCCGTTCCATTGTGTAGCAACGAAAGAGGTAATCACACAAGTCGTTTAGACGCGATCGAAAGGTATTGCACGGCACAAACTAGGGTTCATGATCGATGACGCGTCAGCGGTGGACGCAATCATCGGAAGAAAACACTTCCGTCCGCCGATCGCCATCTCTTGGCGACGAACGATCCGCGAGACCGCAGGAATGTCAACGCAACGTACCAGTCCGTAAGAGATCCTTCTTGCCCTTCTTCGTTTCCTGCCCGTGGCGGCGATTGTTCCGTCCTGTCCATGGCAGTGTTGGTGACCTGCTTATCGTATGATGAAGTATGGTAGTATGATGGGTTCAGACTGAATAGTCCTTGTCCAGACGGGGTGTTTTGGAGTTTTTGGTAGATTGATTTTGATGTGAAACATAGATTTTTGATCGATCCTATGCTTGGTATCTACCATGGGTATATTGTGCAGTAGGATACAAGGTACTTTACCGGACCGCAGGGGTTATGACCCCTGCCGGACCGTACGTACGGTACTGCAGGGGTAATTATGACCCCTGCGGTACTGTACGTTGGACGTGTGGTCATACAGCACCTTCAGTACATTACTATGAGCAGTCGCAGAATTGCGCGTCTTGATTGCGTCCCCTGAATTTTGAAAATTGTGAAAATTTGTGACAGGATTTCCCGGCCCGCGAGTTCAAGGCGGGTGTCAAGCAAAGTTGGCCGCAATTGTAACCGTACCTACGTACCGGAAGTGCGTACGTCTACCGCAAGGAGAGAAAAGAACAAACATGAGCCGACAAAAAAATTAAAAATTGAAAAATACAGTAGTAGTCGAGTACGAACACGTACCGTATCCTACTATTACCGTAATACRAAGAAAGGAAAAGACGAAAGAAAGAACAATCGCAAACACCGACTAAAACGCAAAAAGTGCAATCGATCTTCAGAATTTACAACCGTAAAGTGCTTTGTCTCGAGCCCACCGTGTASMATACGACAATAATCGAACGAAGCAGTGGTTATCGATCCATTCATCTATAAACTAGAACAAGGAAGAATTTCGGCTGCAACATGCAACCTCAATACTTTTTCGAAAGTCTGTTCCTTCTTCTCGCAGTTTTTGCATCGGTTTACAAGCATTCGGATYTCGCCCCCCACCGGCGGCAATACTCRAACGGTCGGCATCYACAGTTCATGTCTGCTTTTCGTGCTTGTAAAACAGTAGCAAGGAACGGCGTTCTTTTCTCTTACCTCCTTCATTCTTTGGGTATGGGTACCGCCGAGGGCACCACGGAAGAATGCGTGGCAACCATGTCGTGCTCCGCAGCCGGAACGGCATCGGCGACACTGGCACCGGCGGATCTCGCTCGGGAGGACAACAGGATGGCAGCGGTGGYGTCGGGAGCTTCACAAAACGCAAWCGCAAACGCAAACGCGATTCCGAACACCACCACCGATCCCGGCCGCGCGAAAGCGACGACCTTCGAGGGCGTCGAGCTGCCCGGCTTCAAAACCGTGGACGGGGTGCACCTGTACCGAAACGGCCACGGAATCCGCCGCATACCCTTTTTCGGGATGAACATCAACATCTACGTCGCCGCCATGTACAGCGCGGAGCCCCTGCTGAGCACCGCCCAGGCCCTGGGGGAAACCCCGCTGCGGGCCAACCGTGGGGCGATCGACGCGGGTCGTTCCGGTGGCGGCCACGGGCCCCTCCAGCTCGACTTTACCTTTCTACGGTACGTCAGCCAATCGAGGGTCGTCTCGGCCTGGACCCAGCAGCTCGACCACAGCGTGACGCACCGAGAGTACGAGGGGTACGAGGAGGACCGGGCGCTCTTTGTCCGGCTGGCGTCCGGGGGGCCCATCCAGTACCTGGGGACCCAGTCCGTCCAGCTGGTGGGCGACGAGACGCGGATCATCGACCAGGGGGTCCTGAAGGGCGTCGTCCGCGGGAGAAACTTCCAGCGGGCCTTTCTGAGCATGTGGTTCGGTTCGATGGCCGTGTCCGAGGACCTGAGCTCGAACCTCCTTAGGGGAGACGAACACCACCCCTCGGCCGTGTGGGAGGTGGAGCAGTGGCTGCGGGAGCTCGAGGAGCAGGAGGCACTGGAATCGGAAGAGGGGCAGGTGCCGGTTGCGGCGTGAGGACGGACCACGTCACTCCAGGCCAGGCCAAACCAGGCCAGGCCAGGCCAAGCCAAGCCAAACCGTCCCTGACCAACGGGACAGCGTTGGATAAACAAAGTAGCTAGAAAGCCAGAAAATGGCGCAAATGCATAAGAACCGAGACCGTGACTAATTACAATAATTAACATACATGCAATTGGACAAGAATAATTCAACACCGTATCTCTCGCAGTCGCAGTCGCAGTCCTACTCGCAGTCGCAAGTCCTTTCTCCTCGGCCGTTTCCTTTCGCGGCTGCGTTCGTCGGTGACCCAAATCCCGGCGTCGAAGCCCGACCAGCCATTGGTTGCCTCGTCGGAGAAGCTAGCGCGAGTAGCTTGTCACAAGCTAAGCTACTGTGCCATACCATAAACGACGATGGAAAACTTGAAATCCCGACGACGAAGCCCACCGCAAGACAAAAACAATCTCGGTGTTGTTCTGCGCGGCGCGCAAAAAAGGCAATGGGTTTTTAGTATGTTTCGTTTTCGGATTCCGTATTCCAAACACGATCCACGCATTCGTGACGTGGGAGTGGAACGAAATCCAACGGCCAAGGTGTCTGCAAGTGCATCGAAGATCCGCCACAGCTGCTTCCTTCAATGTCCGAGCCAATCAAAACATTTCATCGTGATGGGAAGCAGATTTTCTCCATCTTGATTGCATCGATGATGCGGCGTTCCGCATCTGTAACGCCCGTAGCGTCGCTCATTCCTACCGTGTTCGAGTAGTTTTTTGATTTGCGCTCTCGACTCCGAGAAACTGTTTTCCACAGCATCCAACAGAGAACATACGTATCCGAACACATACATCACGGTAGGATACCCTACGGGGGAAGACGGAGAACAAAGGTATCGTATCGCATCGTATCGTATCGTATCGTGTCGTACCAGTACGAGTACCATCAAAAAAGATCATTCCTTTTTCATTCCCATCGATTTTGAGGAAAGACACACCGATACTTTCAGTGCCACTGAGGGACCACAAAATCTCAAAATAGCGAGCCGTAGCAACAACACCCAGCGAGCCTACCTGGTACGGAAGCCATCGGATTGATTTTGGCCACGCCACGCTCCCTATTTTTGGAATACAGAAGACAGCACGATACGATCTCGCACCTACATTCCACCAATACAGCAGCGCAATACAACACATCACATCACATCACAACACAACTCATCACGACACACCACATCACAACACATCACATTGCACGAGCTTGCCATGGCGCTGCAGCGAAGAACCACGCAAGCTGCCCTTGCATCCGTGAGCTCGATCGCAACGGCGGGGCACCGGTGGACCTCCCCGCGAATGCTGCTGCTGCTGCTGCTGCTCACCGAGCGGGCGGAGGCCTACTCGATCCGCCCGCCCGCGGTGGCACGCGGTTTCCACACGGCGGGGAGGCGGCGCCTTCCGAGGCCGCGGGCGAAGGTCCTTGCTCTCTCGGCGGCCGGCCGGAACCACGATTGGACCCGGAACGCCACCGCCGTGGTGCCCGTGGTCGAGGAGTCCCCGGGGAGCGACGGGGACTT